TCCCCACTCACGTCGTCCTTGCCCCCACATTGGCACTATTTAAAAAACGCCTAGATGACACACTTTCCAACTTGCATTATTTGGCATAGCAGGTCCTAGTCGGAGGACGAAATAACGCGACCCAAACCATGAGGTTATTGTCCCTCCCCGCAAAGTGGCGGTGATGTTACATACAGAAGTGTCCCAATGAGCGACATGGATGTATACAAACTGGAGTAACGTATCACATCTCTCAACGGAAGCAACACACGAGTGAGCGTTATCCGTTCCTTTGATTTCTTTTTCCCACATTTGCTGTCATATAACAGCTCTACTTTGGGTGCAGACATCCAGTCCATACTTCAAACTATCATTATGAAGTGATGCATTGAAATCTGTAGAGGCTTAAAAAACGATTTACTTGTGCGATTATCCTTCCATTTTATCTATTGCTCCAACCACCCTACGGGACCTGTCAAGCATATGCTTTTTTACCCCTTATAAATCATTGTTCATTATTCATTGTTCATTGAATGTGTTGTTTGCGCGCCGGGGGTGTGGACGGAAGAAGAGGATGGGTGGCCAAGCGATGACCTGGTCGAGAGGAACGAAGGCCCTCACTTCGAAGTTGGCCTCGGTTGGAGCGTCTCGGCTTCTTGGTTGGGTTCCGACAGACTATGAACACGGTTAGTTAGATACACTTGCTGACATGGCAAGGAGCCGACCTCAATGGCGTTCGTGTTGTGGCTTTTTTAAATCTCCCTCCCCATTCCTCTTTAGCCTCCCCCTCCAACCCCGACCTCACTACTTATCCTTACATAATTTTGCATAGTAAATTTTTCTGCTGCATAGTAGCCGGCTGGTAGTTTACTGGAAGGATGCCAATCCGTTACCGGTAGCTCAGCTGGCTTGCGTCTGTTGCATTGTTTCCCTTTTTCTTTCATGTATTGCGGCACAGTTGCTGAGGTGTTTCCCACTTCTTGCTAAAGTGTATTATATTGATGCTGATGATTGATGTGGAGTGTGCGATGGTAACTAGTCCTAGCGTACGGACAGTTGTTATGCATCTTATTTAGCAGGGTAGGTTGTTTTCCCTGGTGATTGTCTGAGGCTTGTTGATAGGGAACTTTGGGTGTAACCGAGTATTTCATAGCCACAGGCCATTTAAAGACAATGGTCCCTGGATTGTTTAAGTCCTCTGTAGGCGACAGTGAGCAATGGACTACATCAGATTGTCTACCCTTGGAAGTATATTGGTCTTTAAGGCCGGATTTTGATACAGCCAACGAGTTGTTATTGCACCACCGTTCCGAAGAAGCAGACTTTCCTTTAATCTCTACGCATGAGAAGTTCAGGATTGGGAGAACCCGCTTTATCCGTTTGTTGTTCTGAAGTCGTTTCAGGGGAGCAAGGAAGGATGGCTTTGGAGCTAGTTGACGATGCTGATAAATTAGCGAGTTCGAAATCGACGCACCTAGTATTCACATGGGATGCACTCAAGTTGTGGACCTATGACTGAGATTTCGCGATGAGCCGTTTTTTCGGTGTTCGCGGCACAGTGCCAATTACGGATCTTTCTGCTGTAATTATTATACTTATACACGGAAGAAATGTCAAGGCAACCAACTGGCTATTGGAACATACCTCTGGGATATCGTACTCGTCATCTGTTTAGCATCTGCTATCCAAGTCCCCTTGCTTAAGCATTCACAGCCACGGCCGTGCTTTTATCCCGACCCGTGTCACACATATGCATTTATCCATTACATTACCAGGTCCCATCCGTCTGCTCAGGCTGTGCACGCACTTTATTGCCCACTATACCAACATTCGTTGCCCACATGTACAGTAAATCGGTTGGACATTTGTTCGTTCACACCTTTGGTACACAACTTGTCGGAACACAATGTCACTCTTGAACCGCTTTCGTGTCCGATGACGCAAGATATATGACAAAATGTTATCGAGATGTTATTAAGCCTGTTTGTGGTAATTCCGTTCACACCGCAAGTGTTTCCCATTGAATCAATCTGAGTGCAGAGACCTATCGTAAACTCTCCGGAAGTCGACGGATTCGTGGCAAGAATTATTAGTAACTTTTGTTTTTCTAGAAGAAAGAATCGTGTATCAGAACCGAGTATCAGGAAGGCGTGCATAATCCGATCGGCCTACCTGTACCGTTTCTCACCCGCTGGGACTTCTGGTTGGAAGCTGTCGCACTTTACAACAAATATTTCCATCATTACCCAGTCATGTTGCAAACTGTACAACATAAGTTTGGCAACTCAGCTGGTGTTTGAACTTGTGTGTATTCTAAAGAAAGAAACAACACGGAAAGCTTTGAAGTGACAACTAAGTTGTATTGTGACCGTTGGCAAGAACATCATCCGTCACTTGAATACTGCCGAATCAACGTCTCCGGTAACCCATAATGTTTACAACGACCACTTCGATCTAGTTAGGTCGCTGAAAACTGCAGCTGAAGAAAACTGGTCGCAACATTTGCAGTCAGAGGGGCCCATATTTGATGCGTCCAGCAAAATCCAAACTAACACGCAACTGTTTCTCCCGAGCTGCGGTAAATTTCCGGGAGTTGATGACACCACAGGCTAACTGGCTATTTGTGAAAGCCATTAGTGTTCAAATTTAACCAGCTGGTCACCTTACCCAGTGATCCATGCAGCTATATCGCGTTTCCAGGCGTGGTTGGCTCCTCAGCTCTGGCAAGCAAATGGCTAATCTATCGAAACGTGGTGGAAGAACTGCATGGGGAAAAGGATGAAGACACGTTGGTCTTCCGGTGCGCGATGAATACAAGTATTCCACAAATGGCAGATATCGCCAGCCGTTATCTATGCATTCCCGTGAATTCGGTAGACACTGAATGGAGCTTCAGTGCCTACAGAAAGGTTGTGTCTGAAAAGCATGACAATTTTTCTGACAGTAGCAGAGAACACCCTGTTGTGTTCTAATCTAAATCCTCTATTTTGAATTATGACTGATATGTGTATAGTGGAGGAGGGTGCATTCGTTTCTGTTTATTTTGGTCTTCGCAGTGAAATCACGGAAGTTTTGCTAGCGCCACAGAAATATCACGGAAAGTTCGATTTTGCTCACAGAAATATGGTTGCACCAGCGCGAAAAGTGATCTTTTTAGTGCTAAGTCAAGCCACAGACTGACTGGTATTGCACGCTTCAAGATGCATCAGTGGTGTTGTATGTCAGTAAGCGGAACACAGGAAGATGTGTACGTTAATGACTTTTGATACTTCAGTTGATCCGACTGATAACTTAGTTTTTCCTACAGAGTCTAGAGTGGTTTTGTTTCGGAGGTCCTTCGGAGCACATGAAAATATTCGCACAGACAAGCGCGTGTTCTGAATAAATATACGTAGAGTATAATTATTTATAGCCTTGTGTGCAACGGCGCCATTTGGAAATGATTACAGTACAGTGTGTTTGAGACCAAGGCTTCTTCGCTGAATGAAGACGCTAGGCAGCAGCTCGCCTCCTGGAATGTCTGAATTTGGTGCTTGCGAGAAATAGACCGTTGTCTTCACACAAAGTGCGAAGCCTTGTTGCGTAACCGGAGCGCTTGGCATTCAGTGCATGCTCAGCACCCAAATGAAATTCTCCTGATAACAGGTGACCAACTGGTGCGTTGAAGTCACTTGCGAGGATTGTAACGTCCGATTTCGTGGCTTTACAAAACAGCTGATGGAGTTGTTGGTAGAAATCGTCATTGATTCCTTCGCAGTTAAATTCAGTTGGTGCATAAGCTGAGACCATAAACAGCTTTCGCCTATCCGCACGATGCCTGTTAACCTGTATGAATCTTGAAGCCAAGCTGCACATAGTCAGCTGTTAGGCGGAAACAAATCCAGAAGTGAGGCCTCGGCCTTGTAACTTAATACCACGCCAGCGCCAGCCAAAACAGCTGCAGTTGCGACTGCATCACCAGACAAAACTAGCTGGTATGTGGTCTCCTAGTTGGTCGGAGATGTCAATTTGAGCATAATGTTTGAAATCATATGTCAGAATGACAGCAGATATCAATAACGAGGTTTGTCGCAAAATCTGCATAAGTGTCCGAACATTGGAGATAATCAGTGGAAGGGAGGATGGTGGTCGAAGGATAGCCCCAGGCCAAACATCATACTGTGAGTAACACGTATTAAGAACAGATGGATGGTGGGTGTGTTATGGAATTTGGTGAACGGGAGACGGAAAAAGCAACGAATGTGTGCAACCAAGCTGCAATGCTATCGATTAGGTTGCAGCGGGTGAGCTACTACCTGGTTGCTTTAGCCGAGGCAAGGAGTCGTTTTAGGGGACGCCTTCCAAAGGACTTGACACAACAGCCCACCCGCAAGACAGCGGGGCGGATTCAAGGAATAACGCCCCTTGCGAGCCGGTGACCGGCCTCTCACTCCATACGCTTTTTGTCTTCTCATTAGCATCGAGTAGCTAGGTAAGCTTTCAGTTCCCTACATAATAACTAAAATCAAGTCGTTTCGTGACTATTTCGGAAGAAACGGCTTTCGTGGGAATAGTTGACCCTCCGTTGTTTCACTCCAACCATCCTACAGGAATTGTGAGACATGCGCGCTTTTACCCGCAATGAACTATTGCTGCATTATTAGCATCTATGTCTCGGTTCATTCCGTTTCATTTAGCCACTGCTATTAGGAATTTTATCCACTAGTTTTCTGCTGTGTATCATTAATTTCAACCGTTTATCCGAGTACGATCGCTCACATTTTCCTCTCTCATTGTCCATTGTTTCGCTGCTTAGTCAAGGTGAGTCGGCTTGGGTTTCGTTTGGAATCCAACAACCGTAATTAACCTTTTGTGTGAACGCATGCAGCAATGCATGGGAAGAACAAAAGTCACTGAATAGGTATTGGCTGATCACAATAAAATAGATAGAATGCTCAATAATGACAGGGATAATAGAAGAGGAGAGTCGATCCAAGTGAACAGCATGACGGGTTATTGAAAGAGCTTACTATCGTACACACCTTGCTCGCCAGCAGTTTCTTTAGCTGATTCGCTTTGAGTACTCTGCATTCTCCTTGTACGCCTTTTCTTTCTGGCTCCACCCACCACATCCCCACTTGGTACGTCGCGTTCTAGTTGACTGGTTGACTGCAACTAAAGAGATACGATCATGTATACACAAGTAGAACACCTACCTCTTTTCTTTCGGTGTGTAAATGCTCCAAATTTTTGCCCAGTCTTAGCGCCTGCTCTTGATCCTGTGTGGAGACTGCCTATGTTTTAAGTGTAGGAATGTGAATGAATCACATAAAACTCACTTTGTGTGTATCGATTTCTTCAGTGACTTTGTCCTGCACATTCTTTAGTTGTTTAGTTGAAAGGACTTACCTCTTCTGCACTCGAATCCAACGCATCATCGGAAGTCATTTTTGCATATTAGAGAAGTTCACGTGGACGCACTACGTCATGCTATGAAAAAGATAAAGAGAAAAGTGTATAGGGTTTGTCATCTTTTAGTGAATATCATTACAAAACTTTTGCGTCATTCTCAATTTGTAGAAGACGATGAGGAGAAAAACAAGCGGAATATCAGTAGTATTCTGATTCCACCGAATATAAACAGCTTTATATGTTACAAATACTAACGTAGTAAGGCATACCAGGTGAAACCTAGCTCTAGATACCTGTGTTAGAAAAAGAAAGGGGAAATTGACGTTACACAAATTTTCGGTCAGCATTTATGCCAGGCGCATGAATGTGGTTTGGTATATTTGGTGGCTAGCTGCATATCTCTCACCACAGAATAAATCTACAAGACTGAGCTACAAACAAGCAAAGTGGCAGTTCCGTTCTTGCTTCTAGCAAAAACGAGCTCTCCCACTTACTCTTCCGCGACTTTACCGTAACTGAGCTTAAATTAGTTAGTGTAGCTTTATGGGTTCAGGCTGTATTGACAGTCCAAATTGTGTACAACAACATGAGAAACGCGGTTATTTTAAGTAAAATGGAATAACTTGGCAGAAGAAATCTTTCATCAAAATCATAAGCGATATAAAGACCTAACCGGGTAGCACTTTGAGGTGTTGGGGCGGAATTAGTGTGGAGTTACCACGTGTTTGTTATCGTCAATTTCCAACTCAGCGATAAGTGTGCTAACATCGGCTATTTAACCGACTGTCAATCAATAATGTAGTGCCGCAGTCATTAGTTTTACACATTATAAGTAAAATAATTTACCTTGGCTACAAACCAAATCACATAGTACGCGTTCAGGTTGTCAAGCACAGTAAATGTAACTAATGGTATTAACTCCAACGCCAATGAATTTGGTGACTATTGTGTTTGAGTTGATTCGTACATGTGGCAAGAGGGTAGGCATATGGGATTTTACGACAGTTGTACCGACGAACTGAAGGTGCAAGCGCCGGCTAGTAATCGAAAGAAGATAAAAGGTCTTTTACCTTTGCCTCTTGATACAACACACATAAATGAACTAACTATTTCTTACTAGAAATCAGCCAAAATAACTCGTCGCTACACTTAGAAGTTGCAAGGACGTATACGGAAATACTCTGAAAGTCTGTGCGGCTCTAGTGGTGTACAGCAAGTATTCGTCCTCGGTCCGCTGTTGTTTCCGGTTTTCATCAAGAACCTCCAAAAAATATTCGATCCCCAAACCAACAAATTTCAGACGATACAAAAACATCGATGGCGAATCGCTCGGCATCCGATCACTCTTATCTCCAGAACGAACTGGAGCGGATTAAGAAACATGTAGAAAGGAAACAGATCCCACGGAATCCGGCAAAATGACACCCGCTGACCACACGTAACAGCTTCATCAACACATCCATTAGGCACTACGTTCAGCAAAGATTGCGTAAGGAACGCGACTACAGTATCATAGTAAAAGAGGATCAAGGTAATTCGCAAAAATATTCTAAAGCAGAAGCGTGGCTGACAAAAACTTAAGATTTGCTGAGAGCTACTGGCACCATGGAGCGACAGATAGTACCAATGCGGCTAAACTTGTACAGTCAGCATAAGAAGTATTATACCTTTTCACTCTGTTACTCAGGGAAAAAAGCGTCACGCTTTCCGGTGAGAGAACAGCGCACTAAATCGCCAACTGTCCAATAGTAGAGGTTGGTCTATTTCAACTTGTCTCCCACCCCGTCACATGGGTGTGAACGACCGGAGTGATGGCCATAGGCAAGTGCAACTGGGTACAGGGGTACAAGCCAGTCTCGTCCAGCGTGAAAACACTACACCAATTCATGGCCAAGTTGTCCTCTTAGGTAACAGAAACAATCTGAGGGGGCATTCAACTTGAGTCTATTCAATTAATTTGTTCCGTGCGAAGGACCTGAAGCTTCCCACCTGCACCTCTATGATTTGTGCGTCTGAGGTACTATTAGCTAAAGGCGACGGGCTATACAAGCACACCCACATACTTGCACAAGTGACTGGCGTAAGCACGAACAAAATAATTGAGGAGACTCAAGTTGAATGCCCCTCAGATTATTTCCGTTGCACAAGAGGATAAATTGTCCGGAACGTGGTATAGATGGACGCTGATGGTTGAGTTGAAGTCAACTACGGCACGCCACAGGTCAAGTTCACCGAACGATACATACCGGGTTTCGGGCTGGTTGAAAAGAATCTAGGCGTGCAATATCAAGACAATAGTGCACCATTACCGGGCTATTGCAGTAGAATTGTGGTGGCGCTTGATCAGGTCTAACTGACATGAGCAAGGAGTGTTCAACAGGCGCTTAATGTTATTCCAGCTAATGACGAAATAGTTTTTGGCAACGCTCTTGCAGACTGAAAGTTAGCTTCCAACAACCCACCTTAGCAAAATAAGCCATCCTTACAATTAGGCCTTTCAGATATTAAACGTAACGTTTTGAGAAAGAAGTCTTGTAAATCTATGCCGCCCAAACACTACTCGCTGCCGCATAGCGTATTCTCGCGTCACAGTCCTGAGCGTTCCTTCCAACATATTCACTGCTGAGGCAATATTACATTAGCATGGGACTGAGAAGCTGCATCTTTAGGCAATATCTAATTCTCGCGTATGTATTCCAAAAAGCGTGAAGTTCCTTGGCTTGCAAAACTGATTGACAAATCGTGGGACCACAGCACACACACATGTGGGTTCTCACGCATACTGTCCAACACAAGCCAATTGTCCCTGTGGTAACTTTTCTGACATATTGCTGCAAACTCCGATTGCCAAACTCAAAAGGATCGATAAGCCACGCTTTCTCGGTCTGCATTCTTATTAAAAAGCGTTGGATCATCTTGCTTTCCCCTTTATGCGACCGGTATGCTAGTGTTGGGAAGCACTCATCCCACGCCGGAGTCTGTGCGCCGATGAACACGACAAAAATACGAATTCGCGTAGCCTATTCTCACCTCATCATCTCGTTCCCATCCACCCGTATTCCTTAGGCATAATCATGAAAAACAAGTATTGATGTTGGGAACCAACTTGCATAGAATTGGTCAGTCTAACTGCTGTCGAATCAGCTTTGCACGTTGAACACATTCTGACCCGACGCATTTTTGGAACCATTTACCCGTGCACCAATTTAGTTCAGAAATGCGTGATAACGGTCAATACGTTTATTAGCGTAAACAGCATAAAACGGTGAGATCCCCGTCAACGAGGAAGATGCTCAACGTGCACGCTGGCGTTCTGCTTGCAGTGCGGAAATCATCTGAGGCAATAGTCCATAACTTACTGCAAAGTTTTCGTGTTGCTGGCGCGATGTTCGTTGACAACACTGCTTGCTTTTCAGTTGTTCCAGTGAAATAGACGTTGTCTAGTAGACTCTTCTTTTCAAATAACCCCATAGGAAGAAATGTAAGCAGTTCCAATCTGGTAACAAGGTAGACCAATCCGTTGGATTTCCTCGACCGATCCACCGGTGACCTAACACGTCGTTAAGGTAATCCCGCACCGTTCATGGATACTGGGCGGGTGCGCCATATTGAAGCTATAAGGGCTGAAGCGTAGCTCCGAAACCGCCAACGAGAATTGGTGGTGAAAATTTCCCTATCTTGTAGCTCCTACGTCACTTGCCATCGACAGTTCCCTTACCATATGAGAACCATGATTGATAGAGGAATGGCGGTAATCATAATTGAGTTAATTGGCAAACACAAGCTTAACATCATATCTGCAACGGAAGTACGTGACCCTGGCTTGCAAGAAGCGCCTAACGCAGCCTACTGAGCTACAACTGTTTCGTTCCCGGCCACCAACTTTACTGTAAACCTCAAAAGCGATGCCCGCACCCTGTCGGACAATTGAGCAATCGCGCGTTCCTCACGTGCCCGCCTTATTCTTCTTTCTCGTAGCATTCATTCTACCCAGACGAAGTATTGGCACCCGTACCTTTCGCAACAACGTGGTAGTGAAATCAATCGTTATGCATTATACATATATTTAGATGAAGTAGGATTCAAGAGCGAAAAACAAACGACGTAGATGTTCAAAATGACCACCGTCGTTTCGCTTGCAGGGCAGTATTCGCCCGCGGTTATTGACTAGCACTTTCTGCAATGTGTCCACCGAATTCCCGTGACATTCGTTGACGATGCTCACTTTCAGTTCCTTCGGCCTGTAGCCGTGAAAGCACACAGGACTGATATGTTTTTTGTTGGAGGACGCCAACAAATTTGTAACGTTAGTTCTGTTAATAAAACAAGGGCTGGGTTAGGAGCCTGAGAAATTATCGGACAGTTCTTCTATTCAAATTATGTGACGGGTAACTTGAGTATGCATGAACGGTGCGGGATTACCTTAACGACGTGTTAGGTCACCGGTGGATCGGTCGAGGAAATCCAACGGATTGGTCTACCTTGTTACCAGATTGGAACTGCTTACATTTCTTCCTATGGGGTTATTTGAAAAGAAGAGTCTACTAGACAACGTCTATTTCACTGGAACAACTGAAAAGCAAGCAGTGTTGTCAACGAACATCGCGCCAGCAACACGAAAACTTTGCAGTAAGTTATGGACTATTGCCTCAGATGATTTCCGCACTGCAAGCAGAACGCCAGCGTGCACGTTGAGCATCTTCCTCGTTGACGGGGATCTCACCGTTTTATGCTGTTTACGCTAATAAACGTATTGACCGTTATCACGCATTTCTGAACTAAATTGGTGCACGGGTAAATGGTTCCAAAAATGCGTCGGGTCAGAATGTGTTCAACGTGCAGAGCTGATTCGACAGCAGTTAGACTGACCAATTCTATGCAAGTTGGTTCCCAACATCAATACTTGTTTTTCATGATTATGCCTAAGGAATACGGGTGGATGGGAACGAGATGATGAGGTGAGAATAGGCTACGCGAATTCGTATTTTTGTCGTGTTCATCGGCGCACAGACTCCGGCGTGGGATGAGTGCTTCCCAACACTAGCATACCGGTCGCATAAAGGGGAAAGCAAGATGATC